GAGAATATCGAAAAAGAGCTGCTGGAATATATATTGTTGATGGAAGTCATATTTTTCTATTATAAAAGCATTTTTGCGATAAAATAGAGTAAATAATTTTGTAATTATTTAACATTTTTTGTACTTTCCTATTTGATTTTGGCTACATTAAAGCATTTTTTTGAAAATATACAGTAAGGTTCCATATTACCACCCGATTTTCTCTAAGCCTACTTTCGGACTTTTTGTACAAAAGCCTTAAAAACCATACTTATAGTTACACTAACGAAAAATCCAATTAGGAACATTTAGTTTAATAGTTACCAGTACTTTTTGCACAAAAAATGTGGGTGTAGTAATGATACCTTGTTTACAATTCACTAAAATGTAATTGGGGTTCCATAATACCATTTTCTCCTCTAATATGGTATTGCTTATTATCGTGTACAACTAATAAATATATTAGTTGTACATGATACTAAAGGTTATATTTAGTTGTCTAATACTAATTCGTATATTAGACAACTAAAGAAGTTCAAATGTCGAATTCAAAATGTGAACACTTAATATATTGCTGAGTAAAAATCTTAATGTAAATGTATTTAAATAAATGTTAATTAATTAGAGAAGGTCTCTGTAAATATCTAAAATTAACGCCTCATTGTCACACATATAAAATCAGTATAAAAAATTCTACAGAATCCAATTTTTATCATTACGAAAAGTTTATTGATAAAGCACTATAAGATGTATTAAGTTAAAATACATGCTTTGTTGAAAAAAGCTATTTTTCTTGTGTTAGAAACCGATATTTAATTCAAAAATCATATTAAAATTGAATGTATTATGTGAGCATCTNATTTATTTTAATATACTGACAAACTTTTTTCAGATAATTGACATTTATTTTAATAAGTTTTACATTTGTAGTAAAATAATTTAAAATTTCTCAAAATAATCCAGAAAATGTAGCATGCTCAAATACAATATTTCAACTATTTAAACATTATTTCCTATATTTAAAACTTTATATATAAATGTAACACAAAAATTATGTGCAACACTCGTGAATTATATTGTAACTTGTATAGTGTAACATACACATCAATAGAGTATTTTCATTCATTTTGTGGTCATTTTTATATACACGGTGAATAAAAATCAGATGATAATTACATCATAAATATATCACATCATATCACAGATATATCACATCATAAATAAACGCTTAAGAGAAGCATCTAATTCAGTGTTTTCCAACCTTTTTTGTGCTATGCCCCACCAAAGCCTTTCTAAAATACATATGCCCCCTAACGTATACAGTGGCTATACAGTTAACTTAAACTCTGGACGAGTCCATTTTTAAATTTTCTCCTTAACAATCCAATTACCCCTTTGTGGGGCATGGACCCCACGTTGGGAAAGACTGATCTACACCATCATTAATTTTAATTCTGATACCATACCATAATAGACAAGGAATATCGTGGAATCGACCGAAAAATGAGAAAACTTAATGTTGTACAAAGGGTTTAGTAGTGTAATAATTTTAATATAAAATAATAATTATGCAAATTAAAGAAAACAAAGTATGTGCTCATATGGATGTAAATAAACATTAATATAACTTGAAATGCTAACCAACAGATAAATCGATTTAATGAAGCAGATTCTGTGATTTTTTACTTCTGTTTGAAAGTTGCATTACCAAGCAGCACCCTTGAGATATTTATGCTTGCTACTGTTGAATGAATCAGGTTATTTGCTAAAAGTATCTATCAGAGACAGAAATTGTGAATGTAAATTTCGTAAGTACCTTTACTTTTATTACTTTCAAACAATCAGCGAATAATATAATTTGTGTATTTGTGAGCCGCGTGGTTAATTGTTTTAACTTAATACTAGAAGCAAAATTTGCATAAACGTATCGACGAACTAATATTAATTTAATGAGTGGTTAAATTATTACCAAGATTTCAGATTTTTTTAGAAATTTATAAAGCAAGCATGTGGTTACAATAAATACGATCGTTATGTTTTAAATGAATTTCGAACATTATCCGAATTCGCTTTAACATAAGAATGTTATTTTGCGAATTTTTATTTAAATTACTACAGTAGTTGAGATGATAAAATATTAACACTGCTAGTTAGTTGGGATTTCAAACCTGACAAATCTATTAGTTGATATCAGATTTTCAGTCTTCATAACGTGTTTCAGAGGTAAATAGTGGTAAATTTTTCACAGAATGTTCTATCGACAGGGAATCCTTTTGGCAAATTCTCGATGTGTTTCGTTTTCTTTTTTAATCAATTTATATAACATTCTAAATTTATAAACTGAAAAAATACGTCGAAATATAGATATTAAATTTATATTTTAATTTATAGAAAAAATTATTAGTAAATACGTTCTAACATCATTTCTTACTTTAAGAAAGTAATTTAGTTTACTAAATATTTATCGAATTTGCAGCAGAAGTAATGTACTTACCCAAGGGTTTTTCTATTGTTTATTTTAGATGCAAGTACAAAGCACAAATTACGGATAAAGAAAAATTATATTATTTCTATTGTGCTACAGAAGATTTCAATCTGCGATCGTAATACAGTGGTGCCTCGTATAACATACGCCTCAAATAACGGCCGCTGCGAACAACGGACTTTCTGTTTGGCTGTCACGTAACTCGAGCAAAGGACTGGCTGCGAAGAAGGGCGAATGATGTTTTTACTCTTTCGCCATTGCCAATGACAATCTGCTATTTTTATAATATATTAGTATTATTAGAATATATCATTAGTATATCTGAAGTACAGAGCTCCCGTTGGGATTCGACTCGCTCCGTTGTTTATTACGTACTGAACATCACCTCAGTGCAGGGTATTTACATTTATTCAAGTGTTATGCAAATAATAGCTTCTAAAAAACAGAAAGGTAATTTTAATTAAAACAAAACAAGAAATCATTAGAAGAAGTGAAAGTTGACAAAAACTTTCTTGTCTAATGAAGGAGAGGTTAAGGAGTTTACCAACACTCATTATCCAAACACAGCTGAGGACAACAGGATCAATGATCTCTACAATAACGCACTTGCCCGTCATTTCCGACAGGTGTTGAAGAAGAAAGAGAAACAAACCACCTTGTACACGTCTTTTAAGAAGCCATCTGCCGAAATACAAGGGATGGAACAAAAGGAGTTGACCCTGCAAGCCCTGTAGTCTCTCCTGAATCTGACTCCGATTAAGAAACAATAAAATGTGAACTACTGCAATCAGTAAAAAGTCTGTATCTGTATGAATGTGTGAAGAAAGTGTTCCTTTACATCCTCCTCGCAACTTCTGACTATTTGGCATAATTCGTGACTGCTACATTTTCATTTGTTTTGTGGTACAATACGGTTATTTTATGCTGCAGAACGAATTATATGTTTTAACGTGTATTTCTATGGGAAAATGCGTTTCCTATAACGAACTTGTCACTTAACGGACAGTGGATCCGTTAACTGAAAACCCACTGTACGAGGCTCCACTGTATTATGTTATTTTGTATAAATATTACCGCTAAAGCTCGAAATCCGTTAATGTGTACATTACCCAGTTAATCTGCAGATTAACTAGAGTGAACCGTTAAAGTTGCGAAAATTGTTTCATTTCTGAAATTACCTAGGTAATCTGCACATTACCTACTAGGCACTCCGTAAAGTGAAATAAGATCTTTGCCACAAATAAATATACCACAAATAGGTGTGCTTGTTATAAAACCAATTGCTATGTAATTTAAAGTATCACCAATCTTTAGACTACAATAATAAGTAAGCAGAATTGGTTAATGTCGCTTATAGTGACTAAAATGGTGGCTCGTCTCTGATTCCAGCGAACAGAAGAAAGAAAACAGTGGGGACGCATGTTCTAACCTAACCTAACCTAACCTAACCTAACCTATTTTAATAATTTGGTTGATAATAATTATGGTAATTTATTAGAATAGGTTAAAATAAAACGTGCGTCCCCACTGTTTTCTTTCTTCGGTTTGCTAGAATCAGAGACGAGCCGCCATTTTAGTCACCAAAGGTAACATTAACACACAATTTTATCATACTATTGCCGGAAAAAGTATGATAACTTTCTTATTTTTTGTCTCTGGTCCAAAAGTAGGATATCGTTGAACTCGTCTTGGCCCCCTCGCTTCAGATATATACTCAAAGTTCCGAAATTCCATAGGTGGTAATCTATATAATTTCCCATTTCCCTAATTGTAATATTTTAAACCGTTTGATTTTTTGTATTACAGTTTTTTATTTCATTGATAATTAATTCTATTAACTCATTTGTTGATCGTTTGATTGTATTAATTTGATTCTTTAGATATCGATAATTAAATAACATTATGTTAATTTAAGCGTACAGAAACGTTGCTGTTGTTTCAGCAAAGATCTTATTTTCACTTTACCGTATGCCTAGTAGGTAATGTGCAGATTACCTAGATACTCTGCACATTACCTAAGTAATTTGAGAAATGGAACAATTTTTGCAACTTTAACGAATCACCCTAGTTAATCTGAAGATTAGCTAGTTAATGTACATATTAACTGCTTTCGAGCTTTAGCAGTAACATAAACACTTTTAGATTAACACAAAAATTTTGAGCGACTGTATTTAAAGTTCTTGTTTATTTTTCAGATATTTCAAATTTAGAAAAACGTCACGATGAAATACAAATGTGTCTTTTGTTTTAAGACTTTCTCTCGCAAATATTCTCTCAATCCTCACAACAGAATTCACACCGGAGATAAGCCATTCGAATGTGATATATGTAAAAAATGTTTCTCAGAAAAAGTTGATATGATTGTTCATTGTAGATCTCACACAGGAGAAAAGCCATATCAGTGCAATATATGTGATAAACGTTTTGCTTATAAAGGTGTTCTGTCTGAACATCGTAGAATGCACACGGGAGAAAAGCCATTCAAATGTAATGTATGTAATAAGAGTTTTGCTGCAAATAGCAATCTCTCCCATCATCGTAGAACACACACAGGAGAGAAGCCATTCGAATGTGATATATGTAAAAAATGTTTTGCAAGAAAATTTGACATGATTGTTCATCGTAGATTTCACACAGGAGAAAAATCTTACCATTGCAATATATGTAACAAACATTTTTCTCAAAACTTTAGTTTGACCGTTCATCTCAGAAAGCATACAAATGGAATGCCGTTTAAGTGCGACATCTGCAATAAAACGTTTAGATATTTTTCAAGTTACAGTAAACACAAAAAACTGCATACAGTATCACAAAAATTCTCGTGTTGTTTATGCAGCACTTATTTCTCTCAAGAAGATATAATGGTTAATCATCTTCGGGTGCATATTAATTCAGGCTGTCCAAAGTGTGACTGTCAGTTTTCATGTGAACGAAGCTTTTTAGCTCACGTTCTTCAACATTCAAAAGAAACACCGCGATTGTGTGAAACTTGCCTTCACCCTTTTGCTCGGATTTCTGCTTTTAAATTGTATAACACTTTTTTATCGTATCTGGAAAATGCATCTTACTGTACTGATTGTGGATCAGAAATATAAATTGTAAAAAATCTAGAAAATTTGCCTTCAATTTAGTTTTAGGTTTTGCTTTTCAATCATATGTTGGCTAAAATATCACTTACAATACGAACAAGAAATTTTAAGTATAGAAAATTTTAACTTTTGTTTTTTCAGCAAAAAGATGAGTTTTTAATGTTAGTTACTTTTCCTTATTCAAATGTGATCTATTTAAGTTGTGTTTGAAATACAATATTTATGTTCTATATTAAATACGAGGTTTGTAAATAATGATTTATGGATGTATATAAAAACTGAAATTTAGAAGAACAAGTAATATTTTATGCTTTACTAATATTTATTTTTCAATCGATTTGCAATTAACAAATTTATCGTAAACGAACGTAGTGTTACTTATGTCTATTGAAATGCTCGATAATGATTGTATCATTTTTCTATATTTTCAAAAATATTTTATTATTACGTATAATAATGTAAATACATAATTAATTTTCCAAACATATTATTTTAAAAGAATTTTTATAATTTTGTAAATTAATATTTTTGTGCTGTTATATTTTTTTGATGTCTTTATTAAATATTGCATAATCAGTGCAGATAGATTGGAATTTTTTACAGTAAAAGCATTCTATTACAGTACAGCGTCGATTATCCGAATTAATAATGGACCGGGTTGTTCGGATAACTTATTTTTCGGATAACCGATTATGTAAGACAGAATATATTAATTTATACCATGTTGAAATTTTTCTCCATTGCGTGTCGCTTCGCATTGAATTTTTGTCGATGTTGAGCCTAACGCTGCCTATTGTATCTTAAAAAATTATTTTATTATTTTATATTTTGTACAAACGAAATAATATATTGAAAAATATAAAAAAATAAAAAATTATACTTCAGAAGTTAATTTAGTATCAAAAATGTAAAATATTTGAGTAGCCCAAGACATAGCCAAAGATTGCAGCGCCACAGCATTGGAGAAAATTTAAATTTGCCGACTGGAATTCTTTCGGATAATTGACGTTCGGATAATCGACGCTCTACTGTATTCACTTATATCACTTAAATATCTGTACTGTTTAAATCAGCTGAATACACACTCAAATTTTGCTATATAATTTTTTGATATTACAAGAGTTTGGCTGAAGAGAAAAGTCGAAAAATGAACATAAAAACATAGATAATTGCAGTTAGTGTGATTGTGGAAGTTTGGAACTCAAAGTCTAAATTATGCACTATCTCAAGTATAACTTTCAGTGGATCGCTCTGTTCTTCCCATTACTCCATCTTTTATAGCGTTATGGTGAAAAATAGGTCAGGTGATCGCTCGTTGTTGACGATCTCTTGCATTCTTTAACGATTATGTGTCAACTTCCCACTTGATTGTTGATAAAAAAAATTACATCCGATTTGATGCTTCGCAAAGAAAGATTCTTTCTATGGAGGATGTTTAAAATTCGAAAATATAATGTTTAACATTGATTCAAAATGCCTTAAAATTTGCGGTCTCACATTTTTATAATTTGTGTGAACAATTTAAAAATGTTTTACCACTAAATGCCTGCTGACTGGTTCAATTGTTAAAATGATCAAAGTAGTTTTTTATGCACAAATTGTAGTAAGTGGAATTTATTCAACTTCTATTACTTGATTTCTATAACTTCAGCTGTCAGAAAATTTCATAATTTTATATCTAGTAGAAGGTTTTTAAAACTTTTTACGTTTTTTTTATTTTCCCACAGAAAAAATAATGGAAACCTTTTAAATAAAGTAATATTACCGTTTTCAACGTCTTACGCACAGATTTGACTGCAATAAAATTTACATACATTCTATTGGACAATGTTTATGACATAGCCAACTTTTTTTTATAGAAATTTTTGGTTTTTTTCTTCTCTTTAAACCTATTATAATAGCACAGAAGATTGAAAAATTTGTGATATATTTGATTATATATGGCAATTATTACACACTCTGCATTAACCGCGACTTACCCTAAAGCGTACGTTTAAACGTCTTAAACGTCTTTGAATGTACTCGTACGATCGAAAAACAACGTCAACCGGTTATAAACACTGTAGACTGCAAGTGTCAAGTTTCGAGCAGTGTCGAATAAAATACTGTATTAATAATTCTAACAGCTATATTTTATAACTGAAAGCATTTAATTTAAATTACTTAATATTTTTACTAGTTTTTGTTTTATAATAACAATCTTTGCAAGGGTATTTTCTACGCGAAAATTTTTATGTAAATATTTCTACTAATATCTGATTCGCCATTACCTTAGAATCAAAGGAATAGGTTAAAATAGAAAAATATGTGAGTCATTCTGAACATAATTTGAAGAGAAAACCAAAAAATGACAGGAAAATTTATAAATTGTTAAAATCATAAATACATGGAGTTCTTGAATAATTTGAATATAATTTTGCTTGTCATTTTTTAAATGAAAAAACAGTTCACAAATTCATTATTTTCTCATACCAAGCGTCATAATGTATTATAAGCTTAAATTGGAAGAATTATTTAATAAAGGTTTGGAAAATTACAAATTTGTTTTTCAACCACGATTCAATTTTTCGTTGCATCTCTTTGAGAAATATAAAATGAAGTTATTCGTTATAATGATTAAAAAATGATTGATAAATTTAGATTTTAAGGAGTTACTGCATTTATTTATAAATATTGAAAGCTGTTGAAATAATTTTTGAATGTCACATATGTTTATTGAAAGAGACTTTCGTTTTCCAAAGATTATCATAAATTTCTCTTAGAGTAAAGTATTGCAACTACTTTAATACATCGATTAATGAAATATGAATTTCATTCAAGTAAAGTAAATATACCGTACATTAAGCATTCAATTATTATTTGCTCGGCTATGATCTGAAGTGTTTTAAACGTGTAAAAATGTATACATTTTTACATTTTTCATACGTAGTTTTGTGTATCGTATTGTTTACGTTTATTATTTGGAAATTTACTTTGTTGCGTTAGAGACCGGCCATTTCTAAAAACGCATAAACATTACTGTTACCAGAAAAATTGCTTGACACAGTGTTTAAATGGTTTCATCTTTTAAATAAATATTCGAGTAAATTTTAACAAAAGTATTCCAGTCGCGCAGTGTTTCAGTCATATCATTCGTGTTGATAGACGTACATTATTATTTTTTTAATGTTTTAAGCCTGTTTTTAGTAGTGATTATTAATTGATGAGCATTTGAAGCACGAGTAAACTGTATAAATAGAATTTATTGTTTACACCTTATGCTTCTTGTTTTACTTGGTGTAAAACTCGCGCGTTTCTGTAGTTTTATGTAAATCAATATTGCACATATAGTATCATAAATCGATTGTTTATAAAACAATCTATCGTAAGTACTTTAAAAACATAAATATTTATGAAAGTGTACGACCGAAATGTGTAAAAACTTAATGTTGTACAAAGGGTTCAGTGGTGTAATAATTTGAACATAAAATAATAATTATGCAAATTAACGAAAACAAAGAATGTGCGCATATCGATGGAAATCAACATAAATATAACTTGAAATGATAACCAACAGATAAATCGATTTAATGAAGCAGATTCTGTGATTTTTTACTTCTGTTTGAAAGTTGCATTACCAAGCAGCACCCTTGGGATATTTATGCATGCTACTGTTGTATGAATCAGGTTATTTGTTCAAAGTATCTATCAGAGACAGAAATTGTGAATGTAAATCTCGTAAGTACTTTCACCTTTATTACTTAAAATAACCAGCATAATATAATTTGTGATTTTTAATCCGCATAGTTAATTGTTTTAACTTTCATACCGGAAACAAAATTTGCTTAAAAATATAGACAAACAAATGTTAATTTAATGACTAGTTAAATTTTTATAATGATTTTAGATTTTCTTTCAAAAGTAAACGAAGCAAGCATGTGGATACAATAGATACGATCCTAGTGTTTTAAATGAATTTTGAACATTATCCAAATTCGTTTTTACATAACAATTTTACTTTGCGCATATTTATTTAAATTACAACAGTAGCCGAGATGATAAAATATTGACACTGTTAGTTAGCCGGGATTTCAAACCTGACAAATCTATTGGTTGATATCAGATTTTCAGTCTTCGTAACGTGTTTAGGAAGTAATTTGTGATATATTTTTCACTGAATGTCTTAACGACCGGCATCCCTTTGGCGAATCCACTATGTGTTTTATTTTACTGTTTTAATTAATTTATATAACATTCTATATCCATAAGCTTAAAATAAAATACGTCGAGATATAGATATTAAATTTATATCTTAATTTACAGAATAAAAATGAGTAAATACGTTTTTTTGTCATTTTTTTTGTTTAAAGAAAGTGATTTAGTTTATTAAATATTTATCGATTCTTTTTATGCAAAATAAACAGCAACAGAAGCAATGTGTTTTTTTTTTCATTGTTTCTTTTAGATGTAAATACAGAGCGCAAATTACCAATGAATAGAAATTATATTATTTCTATTTTGCAACAGATGAATTGTATCTGCAATTGAAATATTATCATTTCTTATTTTGTATAAACACTTTTAGATTAACACAAACATTCTAAGCAACTGTATTTAAAGTTCTTGTTTATTTTTCAGATATTTCAAATTTTAAAAAAAAACGTCACAATGAGATACAAATGTCTCTTTTGTTTTAAGACTTTATCTTCTAAATATTATCTCGATAACCATAACAGAATTCACACCGGAGAGAAGCCATTCGAATGTGATATATGTAAGAAATGTTTCTCACAAAAAATTTACATGATTGTTCATCGTAGGTCTCACACAGGAGAAAAACCTCATCAGTGCAACATATGTGATAAACGATTTTCTCAGAAATCAAATATGATTATTCATCATAGATCCCATACAAAAGAAAAACCTTACCAGTGCAATATATGTGATAAACGTTTTGCTTATAAAAGTGTTTTGTCTGTACATCGTAGAATGCACACTGGAGAGAAGCCATTCAAATGTAATGTATGTAATAAGAGTTTTGCTGCAAATAACAATTTCTGCCATCATCGTAGAACACACACACAAGAGAAGCCATTCGAATGTGATATATGTAAAAAATGTTTTGGGAGGAAATTTGACATGACTCGTCATCGTAGATCTCACACAGGAGAAAAACCTTACCATTGCAATATATGTAACAAACATTTTTCTCAAAACTCCAGTTTGACCGTTCATCGCATAAAGCATAGAAATGAAATGCCTTTTAAGTGCGACATCTGCAATAAAACGTTCAGATATTCCGCAAGTTACGGTAAACACAAAAAAGTGCATAGAGTATCACAAAAATTCCCGTGTTGTTTATGCAACACTAATTTCGCTCAAGAAGATACAATGGTTAATCATGTTCGGGTGCATATTAATTCAGGCTGCCCAAAGTGTGACTGCCAGTTCTCTTGTGAACGAAGCTTTTTAGCTCACGTCCTTCAACATTCAAAAGAAACACCGCAACTGTGCGAAACTTGCCTTCACCCTTTTGCTCGAATTTCTGCTTTTAAATTGTATAACACTCTTTTATCGTTTCCTGAAAATGCATCTTACTGTACGGATTGTGGATCAAAATTATAAATTGTATAAAATATAGAAAATTTCCCTTTAATTTTTCTCCAAGTTTTGCTATTCAGTCGTATGTGCATTAAAATATCGGTTACAATACGAAAAATTATAATTTCTGTTTTTCCAGCAGCAAGCTGAGATTTTAATGTAACTTTCTTTCCCTATTACAATTTTTAACTTTAATTATTCAAATTTCGTTTGAGACACAACTTTATGTTTTATATTAAATATGGAGTTTATAAATAAAGATTTATGAATGTTTTTAAAAACTGAAATTTAGAACAAGTAATATTTTATGCTTTATCTATTTTTACTTTCTAATAGTTCTGCAATTAACTGGTTTATTGTAAACGAATGTAATGTTACATGTGTGTATTGAAATGCTCGATAATGATTGTANGTGTATTTAATTACAATTAAACCAATAGATATTGACACTGCTCAAGCAAAATCTGTCCGAAAAAAAACTTAGGTGATGTAATTACACATGCAGCAACATCAAAATGGTTTGTTAACAAATAAACTGTGGATATTTTTATAGAAAATCATTCACAAGGAAACAAATTTATTAGTTATATGTAATTAGACTTATGTGAAATTAAAATTTATATGCTTACATTTTTAATAGGCTATTTTATATTATAAAAAATTTATAATTGAACAATTTACATAACTAATGTACTATTAGCTTTCGATTACCACGACTTTTCATTTTTTCGGTAATATCTTTTGATTTTTCGGGAATTTCCTTCGTTTATTCAAGAAATTAATACAGTAAAAAGAAATGTCTGAATTTTTAATGTAATAATAGAAAATACGGTGAATTTTATTTGTGCGCCATTTGCATTTATTTCAAGTATACATTAAATTCACGATTACATATAACACACAGAGAAAGGAATGCATCAACTAAATCTAAAATTGCAGAAATCGTTTACAGAAGTTATTATTTTTTTATTTTCAAAAGTACAGTAGACTTTCCGATATACGAAGTAATGTGAGTGGGAGTAATACCGATATTAGAAAAATACGAATAAAATAATGTAAGAATTATAACTGATATTGTAAAATATATGTATAAGATTCCAAGAAAAAAGGCACGTCTTTTTTTTTCTTGAGCAACGATGGTTTCTCTGCAGAGGCGACGGTTAAGATCGGTACGGCGAAGACAATCGGCTGGGCACACACAGTTTAAAATAAAAAGGAGGGGTCGATGCGTTATCAAGAGTATTCATCCAGTTTTTCAAACTGGATGAATACTCCTGATAACGCATCGACCCCTCCTTTTTATTAGAGAGTCTGTACTGGGTTTTCACCATGACCTTAACAAGAATTAATGTACAACGGTCAAATAGTGGATTTTTTATCGTAGATTTCAGGTGACACATTAAGAATCTGTGTGATTTTTTAAAAGGAATTAAATATGGAGTAAGATACGATTACATCCTTCTAGTTTTTTCTTAAGTGTTGGAAAAAAAATAAAGTTTTTTTTTCAAAAAGTAATTGATACACATCCAAGGTTCTATTGAGCATTTTGACACCAAAATCTAAAATTAGAGTTAATTATAAAAGTCATCCCAAAAGCCTGCGATCGTTTACTGATCGCCTAGGAAAATATAAAAATTCAATAATCGATGCCACAAAAAATTTGTTTAACGTATTTATTTTTATAGGTTGTGTTTCTATTAACAATAGGAAAAAAGTGAATATGAGATTACATCCGACATGAACTGTCTGTACAAATAATATTGAAGAGTAATTATTTGATACTATCAAATAACTGCAATTATTATGACGGTATTTGGATTGTCGTCATAAGAAATATATATATATATTTCTTATGACGACAATCCAAATAACTTCATCCATTTCATCAGGTATACACAGTAGTATTACAGGCCAAAAATAGCTAATACAGCCCCATACCGTAAGACTACCACCACCAAATTTCAATGGCGCTCAGTTATAGACTATGTCGCGCTTATTTTTTTGAATTTTTGTATCAAATTACATTAAAATAAATATTAAAAAACATTTTTTCAAACCACGAATATTTTATATGAAATGAAAGTTAAAAACTGCATTAATTAGAGATATAATGAGAATTTTAATGTCCAATAAATTTTTTTATAATTTATAATAAGTTATCTCGGTATATGAAACTCAACGCTAATGTAGGCAAAGCAATGTTCTAAAGACTGTGTATGATTAGATATTTGCATAGGTACAACTTAACTTGAATTTATTGTCAACATATGCAGATTGCTCTAAATTGAGTAACTATGTTGCAGCATGTGTTGCTACAAAATCGTACAAAATGAAATTTTATACGAGATATCTTTTTTGACTGTAGAAGTGCAAGTTATCCATTTACCCTGACATCAAGTAGTGAGAAAAGGTCAACCCTGCGATGTGGATTCTTTTCTGTTCTGGGGTCCTCCCGGAGAAAATTTAGTACATTGGTGCATCAAACCTCAGATCTGAATACTCACCCATGTGTATAGTCTGTCTTCAACACAGGTTGTTGATCAAAATCACAAAAAAGGAAATCCCGACGATAATTTCTAATAAATTGATCAGAATTTAATTTATTGAACGTAGAAATTATATGAAATTTCTCCCGTAACTGAAAATGATTTAATTTTCATTACATGTATTTTTTAACGTCAAAAGTGTAAATTCATTTTTGATGTTATAAAAATTAATTATTACCATTGTAGTTATTTCCATTTATTTTAAAATTATTTTAAAACTTAACATGCATCTAGTTATTTATTTTAATATATTGACAAAAGCTTTTATCAGATAATTGACATTTATTTCAATAAGTTTTACATTTGTTGAAAAAAATTTTAATATTTTATTAAGATAATCCAGAAAATGGAAATTTCTCAATTACAATATTTCAACTATTTATACATTATTTTTTATATTTAAAGCTTTATATATAAATGTTACACGAAAATTATGTGCAACGCTCGTAAGTTATATCGTAACTTGTATAGTATAACATACACANTCGTAAGTACTTTCACCTTTATTACTTAAAATAACCAGCATAATATAATTTGTGATTTTTAATCCGCATAGTTAATTGTTTTAACTTTCATACCGGAAACAAAATTTGCTTAAAAATATAGACAAACAAATGTTAATTTAATGACTAGTTAAATTTTTATAATGATTTTAGATTTTCTTTCAAAAGTAAACGAAGCAAGCATGTGGATACAATAGATACGATCCTAGTGTTTTAAATGAATTTTGAACATTATCCAAATTCGTTTTTACATAACAATTTTACTTTGCGCATATTTATTTAAATTACAACAGTAGCCGAGATGATAAAATATTGACACTGTTAGTTAGCCGGGATTTCAAACCTGACAAATCTATTGGTTGATATCAGATTTTCAGTCTTCGTAACGTGTTTAGGAAGTAATTTGTGATATATTTTTCACTGAATGTCTTAACGACCGGCATCCCTTTGGCGAATCCACTATGTGTTTTATTTTACTGTTTTAATTAATTTATATAACATTCTATATCCATAAGCTGAAAATAAAATACGTCGAGATATAGATATTAAATTTATATCTTAATTTACAGAATAAAAATGAGTAAATACGTTTTTTTGTCATTTTTTTTGTTTAAAGAAAGTGATTTAGTTTATTAAATATTTATCGATTCTTTTTATGCAAAATAAACAGCAACAGAAGCAATGTGTTTTTTTTTTCATTGTTTCTTTTAGATGTAAATACAGAGCGCAAATTACCAATGAATAGAAATTATATTATTTCTATTTTGCAACAGATGAATTGTATCTGCAATTAAAATATTATCATTTCTTATTTTGTATAAACACTTTTAGATTAACACAAACATTCTAAGCAACTGTATTTAAAGTTCTTGTTTATTTTTCAGATATTTCAAATTTTAAAAAAAAACGTCACAATGAGATACAAATGTCTCTTTTGTTTTAAGACTTTATCTTCTAAATATTATCTCGATAACCATAACAGAATTCACACCGGAGAGAAGCCATTCGAATGTGATATATGTAAGAAATGTTTCTCACAAAAAATTTACATGATTGTTCATCGTAGGTCTCACACAGGAGAAAAACCTCATCAGTGCAACATATGTGATAAACGATTTTCTCAGAAATCAAATATGATTATTCATCATAGATCCCATACAAAAGAAAAACCTTACCAGTGCAATATATGTGATAAACGTTTTGCTTATAAAAGTGTTTTGTCTGTACATTGTAGAATGCACACTGGAGAGAAGCCATTCAAATGTAATGTATGTAATAAGAGTTTTGCTGCAAATAACAATTTCTGCCATCATCGTAGAACACACACACAAGAGAAGCCATTCGAATGTGATATATGTAAAAAATGTTTTGGGAGGAAATTTGACATGACTCGTCATCGTAGATCTCACACAGGAGAAAAACCTTACCATTGCAATATATGTAACAAACATTTTTCTCAAAACTCCAGTTTGACCGTTCATCGCATAAAGCATAGAAATGAAATGCCTTTTAAGTGCGACATCTGCAATAAAACGTTCAGATATTCCGCAAGTTACGGTAAACACAAAAAAGTGCATAGAGTATCACAAAAATTCCCGTGTTGTTTATGCAACACTAATTTCGCTCAAGAAGATACAATGGTTAATCATGTTCGGGTGCATATTAATTCAGGCTGCCCAAAGTGTGACTGCCAGTTCTCTTGTGAACGAAGCTTTTTAGCTCACGTCCTTCAACATTCAAAAGAAACACCGCAACTGTGCGAAACTTGCCTTCACCCTTTTGCTCGAATTTCTGCTTTTAAATTGTATAACACTCTTTTATCGTTTCCTGAAAATGCATCTTACTGTACGGATTGTGGACCAAAATTATAAATTGTATAAAATATAGAAAATTTCCCTTTAATTTTTCTCCAAGTTTTGCTATTCAGTCGTATGTGCATTAAAATATCGGTTACAATACGAAAAATTATAATTTCTGTTTTTCCAGCAGCAAGCTGAGATTTTAATGTAACTTTCTTTCCCTATTACAATTTTTAACTTTAATTATTCAAATTTCGTTTGAGACACAACTTTATGTTTTATATTAAATATGGAGTTTATAAATAAAGATTTATGAATGTTTTTAAAAACTGAAATTTAGAACAAGTAATATTTTATGCTTTATCTATTTTTACTTTCTAATAGTTCTGCAATTAACTGGTTTATTGTAAACGAATGTAATGTTACATGTGTGTATTGAAATGCTCGATAATGATTGTAGCATTTTCTATATAATCAAAAAGATTTTATTATTATGGATAATAATGTAAATACATAATTAATTTTTTAAACGTATTATTAAAAAGGATTATTTATAATTTCGTAAATTATTTTTGTGCTGCTATATCTTTTCGGTATTTTTATTAAATACTGTGTGCTTGTTGAAGTTTGGTGTGTACGAAAGAACGATCTTGTTGAAAACTTATATTAAAATTTCATTATATACATACATATCGAAAATTTGCTTTCAGTGTTATACATTTTTTTTTATTTTAACAATATAACTACGAATTTACGAAAAGTTTTGTACATTATCGTGAAAAACAAAATACGTGGAACGTACATTTTCGACAGTTAGTTTTGGTTTTCGTATCATCTTAACACGCATACCATTAAAATCAAAAGTAGGCCTAGTTCACTTAATTGTGTTACCTCCATTCATCGCGCACATTTTCTATTGATTAAAGAAGATCGACTGAATATGCACAATTTTATCGTAGGGATAACAGCGTAAGATTTTTCTGCATTAAAGGTAAATAGTATATTAAGAAAACACAATTTTCAAAATTTAATAATATAATTTTTAATGAAATATAAGTGTATTTAATTACATTTAAACCAATAGGTACTGCCACTGCTCAAGCAAAATCTGTTCGAAAAAAGAACTTAGGTGATGTAATTACACATGCAGCAACATCAAAATGGTTTGCTAACAAATAAACTGTGGATATTTTTAAAGAAGATCATTCACATGGAAACAAATTTATTAGTTAGATGTAATTAGACTTATGTTAAATTAAAATTTATACGCTTACATAGCATTATTAATAGGCTATATTATATTTTAAAAAATTTATAATTGAACAATTTACATAACTAATGTACTATTAGCTTTCGATTATTACAGCCTTTTATTCTCTTATCTCAGAATTATTTTTTATTAACGACATCATGACAAACAACAGAAAATTCATCACTTTTAGTCTATTCTGATAATATAAAACTTTAACGAAAAATAATTGTTTAGTCTGCAAACGTTTGCAAATATCAATTTACATTGATCTCTAATACAACTTTTCATTTTGATCTTTACGACGGGCAATTAACATGCACGATGTCTTGACGAAATTAACTTTTATGAACTCGAATGCTTGTTTTAACCGGTTGATGAAGCTGGCAGGATTATGGCTGCACATAAGAGTTTTTTAAGCATTTTTTGACTTTTTCTCGCTACCACGCTGAACACGCACGACTGTAGACTTTAGATTGCTTTAAACAAAAAGTCAGTAGCGGTCGCCATATTTGCATTTTTGTGTCAAGCTGAAACATAAAAATTTCTGCGTTTAATCTCAGTTTGCTTTTCTAAGAAAATATCATTCGTCTCCAGCAAGATCCGTTTCATTTTTCAATTTTCATACAGAAAAGCTAATTTAAAATTTTATAATTATCTAAAATTGATATTATGTTGAACCATTTGGTTTTGTTGCTTTCTGTTGAGATGCACCCACTTTTATTTTCGTTCCCTAACTTTACTAATAATGAGGAAGCAGAGTAAAATCCACTCAACACCTGTGAAATAAGAAACAATTTTTCTTAAGCAATAGTGTTTATAATTATGTGAACAAAGAATGTACAATACGGATACTTTAACTAAATCTAAAATTGCAGAAATCGTTTACAGAAATTATTATTTTTATTTGCAAATGTTCGGTAGACTCTCGGATATACAAACTAATGTGAGTGGGAGTAATCCCGATATTAGAAAAATACGAATAAAAAAATATAAGAATTTCTAAATGATATTGTAAAATATATGCCTACTGTATAAAATTCCCAGAAAGAAAAGGAGTGCCTTATCTCTCTGGACGATTTCTGTGGAGCGGCGACGGTTAAGATCGGCAACAATGACGACATATGGCTGGGCACACACAGTTTAAATTAAAAAAACTGGATGAAGACCCCTGTAGGCTCATCGACCCCTTTTTTATTAGGGGATCTGTCCTGGGTTTCACTCATAAACTTATTAGAGATTAATCTACAACTGTCCAATAGTAGATTCTTTATCGTATATTCCATGTGACACATTAGGAAACTGTGTGACCTTTGAAAGGAAGTGAATCCTGAGAAAGATACGATCACATCCTTACAGTCTTTTATTAAGTGTTGAAAAAAAAAATTAAGTTTTTTTCCTTCTGAGTTAAGCGTTATTTCGTTTTATTTTAAAACGAATATTATCAATCAATCAATCAATCAATCAACATTTATTTGCTATGGCTTTCGCCTTTGCAAAGGGGTTACAAAATCGTGTAGCGTTAATAATACAAAGATTGTTATACATGGTTTCAAAAAGAACAACAACACAAACAATAAATGATAATAACAATAAAGCCTAATTAATAATGAATTATGTTAGCATATTTAATAAATAACAGAAAAATTTATAAACTTTAAATAACATATCAGAACTTAAATTGTCGTCATATAAGCAAAACATATCAAAATCGGTTGTCAATAAAGTATCTCTTAAATGCTCGGTAATTTCGCAAGATACAAATAAATGGTTTTTAATACTTTCACAAAGTCTATTACATAATGGACAGTTAGAATGGGCAGATATATTCATTCTGCGCCTATTTAATACAATAGTATAGTCGTTGAGACGTAACTGAATTATTAAAGATTTAATATTATATTTTAAATTTGATAATAAATGATATCGAGGTGTCCATGGAGATACAAAGGAAGTCTCAAGAAACCTACACTTTTGCTCAATATAATGAATGTCTTGGGCCCAATATTTATCCCTTAATGACTGAGACATTTCAGCCAGAAAAAGTTTTTTATCAGAAATTTGAGCATAATAATCAGTAGAGTAACCTAAATCATTCAATAAGCCTTCAACT